CGCGTTCGCGGACGCGTCGGCCAACGGCGAGCAGGACTGCGACGCCTTCTCGGAGATGAGCAGCGAGATGCTGGACTCGCTGCCTGGCAGCCCCGGCTCCCCACTCTCCCCCGCGTCGTACGTGCCCGGCACGGGCTCGCTGCAACGTGGCAGCTGCAGGCGCGAGCACGGCTTCGCCAGCGCGCCCATGTCGCCCCGGAACGGCTTCGCGCCCAGCGCCAACTCCCCATTCCGCCGCGTGCAGGGGGCCGCCCTTGGGGGTACTCTAGGCGGTACTCTAGGGGGCGGCCGCCGGAAGCTGTCGGCGGGAAGCTCGTTGGACATGGGGGATTCGGACGCGTCCGGCACGGAGATGAGCGGTGCTGGTTCAGGGTCCCGCGAGCCCAGGCTGCAGCAGCAGCAGCACAAGCGGATGAATCCTGGCGAGCTAGCGCAGAAGATCCTGGCCGAGACGCAGACGCACATGGTGGCTGTGGGGCGGCTGCAGAGGAGCGCCGCCAGCCTTCCGGGCCCCACCAGCCCCCGCAGCAAGAGCCTGTCGGCGCCCCGGGGCCCCTCAAGTATCGTGACATCAGAGACGAGCGCCTTCTCCAAGCTGGGCGGCTCCGCCACCTTGCGGAACCTGTCGTCGGGCGCCTCCCTGCCGAGGAGTCCCGCCAAACCGAAGCCCCCCGAGCGCGTGTCGTCGCTGCAGAAAATCAACAGCCTGACGCAGCTCAATAAGAACCTGTCGTCCATGTTCGCTCATTTCCACGGTGCGGCTGAAAGGAATCCGCCGGTTCCCACGCGGGGGGCCGGCGGAGCGGCAGGAACCGACGGGCGTCTGGCCGAGTTGCACCGGATGAAACTGAAGTATCCGAGCTCCCCGTACAGCGCCCACATCTCCAACTCACCCAAGAACGTGTCGCCCGGCACGGGCTCCGTGGCGCGGCACTCGCCCTGTAGCTCCGACGCGACGCCGTCGCCGTCCCACTCGGCGCCCGGCTCGCTCTGCGTGAGCCCCGCCAAGGCCGTGCCGCCGCTCGGCCTCGTGGACAACAAGGTGCAGGCCGTGCACAACCTCAAGACGTTCCACTCGAGCTCGTGGCCCTGCCAGCAGCCGGGCCCATGCCCGCCCGGTGTCGACGCGAAGACGCGGAGACTGGCCGCGGGAGCCGCCCGGCACGCCGGGTCGGCAGGAGCGGAGGAACCCTCCGCGTCCCCGCCGCACGACGCGCCCCCCCGCATTCCTAACTCCAAGAGCGACACGCAGCTCCTCGCGGGACTCGCGGCGCGGGGCGCCCCACCCTCCGGCCCCGAGGAGGTCGGGGGCACCCCCGCGGATACCAAAAAGTGCTCGCTGAAACCCCCTCTGGTGGGACGGTCGGGGCCCTTCAAGACGCTCACGGGCTCGGGTATGCCGTTCCGGCGCGGACAGAACGCGCTGCCGGGGAAGCGGTTCTTCCCCGCGTCCAAATGCTGAGGCGGCGCGGAGGAGGAGGCCACGATTTGGTGGTGTCGGGCCCTCGTGCCGCATGGGGTCTCTGCACGTGAGGAGCTTGGTAACGGGACGGACGGCGCATTGCTCCGCTGTTCACTTCGGCGTCCAGCCTGAGGAGCGGCCGCGGTGCTGTGCTGCAAGCAGAGGGGAGGGCTGCGGTTTGATGCCTCTTGGCATCGTTGCTGAGCGAAGCGTGGCTTGTTTATGCCAAAATGAACTCTGCTGTCAACATGTCTGAACGGTCATGGTTTTTAAAAGGCCCTAAATACTTCGTTGTGTCTAGGAGACTCCCCTGAGGTTGGTACACATCCTGTTATGGTAGTATATAAATCCTCATAGGCACAATTATGCCCCCACCCGTGGGCATCTGCGTTTCCATGCACAGCCCTTGGGTGCAGACCAGAAACCACTTAGTGCCAAAACTTTAATGGTGCAGATCTTAACAAAAAAAAATATTACATGATGACCTTTTCAAATGACGCGGTTGTCAAATTATAATTTGGTTTTATTGGCCATTAAATAAAATTGGTGCCATTAAAGTTGTGCCACTTCACGTGGCACCGCCCGACGTCTTCTCTGTCCCATGGATTAATGGCAGCACCAGAAGCAATCTGCGCTACAACTTTATAAAAGTAAATTACCAATAATAATAATGTGCCGAAATGATGTCTGCCATCGTAGACGGGACGTCCTGCCAGCGCAATCATCGTCCCTCATCCCCCATTCGGAGTGAGAATGACGATCGGTCGCACCGAGGGCTCCGCACCAGCGCGCGGTGTCGGAGTGGTGGCGCCAGCTCGGATCCAGTTGGCGTGACGTGGCGGACCCTTCGGCTCCACTCCGCGCTCCTCCTCCCCCTCTTTTTGTATTTATGAATTTCAAGCGGACTCTGCTGGCGCGCCTCAATCAGTATTTAATTTGTTTACGTGTACTATACGTCTTTTATATATATAAAATAATGTACACACGATGCACCGTCTGTGGAGAGAGCCTTTGTCGATTGTCACCGCGGCATCAAAGACGCTGGGAGCAACTCGTGCGCTCGGCGGCGAAGCAACGAACATCGGCAGCACTCCAAACCTAGCCGACGTGGCAGCACCTGCCCGTGTGTTTGCACGGGATATGACTCAGGTGCATTGCAAGCGATGTGGATTTCTTGCTGTTCGTTTCCCAGTTACACTCGCTGGCCGACTCTGCAGTCAACGACGATGACATAATCAACATTAACACTCTTCTTCCACATTGTCACAACCCGCTGTGTTTAGCAGCCTCTCGCTCGCGTCTGGTGTCGACGGCCCTTGTCTCGCGCGGCTCACCCCCCACTCCTCCTTCCTCGTCTTGATGCAAACTCGGGCAGCTGCTAGATTAGCAGCCCCATGAGTCACTCATTTCGCATTATCTCGGCGAGTGGCCCAGATATCAACGCAATTAGCCAAGCGCGTGGGGCTAGGTTCACACAGGATTGAGAGATCAGGGAGATTGTCTTCGTGGCCAAAGCAGTTGATGAAACCAGCAAAGCTCGCCAACGCCAGACCCCGACAGCTGCTCACTATTAAACTATTACACGTTTTATTTTACCAGTTGAGACCCACTTGGCTATATCGCTCTTTTTTCATAAGCGACCTGGTCACAAATGATAGCTCAACGAAGTGGCCATTTATTGCAGCCAAATACAGCAAAACCTTGGATTGCGAGCATAATTCGTTCCGGAAACGTGTTTGTAATTGAAGCACTATATCAGTTGTGATCACGTGATGCTAGGCAGACAAAACATATACGTACTACTCGTATTGCAAGACCTCGCTCGTCTTGCAAAACACTCGCAGACCAAGGTACTCGCAATCCAAGGTTTTACTGCACTCTCAACGCATTTTTCTAAATGTGGAGGAAAAAACCGGAGGACCCGGAGAAAAATCCACGCGACCACTGGGAGAGTGACCATGGAAACTCCAAATATAGAGCAGCAGCAGCAGGCGTCAGGGTCCGGATCGAACCCATTGCTGCATACCAGGCGAGGGAGTTAACATCTCGCAATACGAAACCTTCACGAACTGCCCTGCACCTCTGCCCTTAGGCCTTCTCTTACCCCCTTGATCACCAGGCTTGTGGAGACCACTCCAGTGTCTGTCTCGGTAATGGGCTCCAACCTCATTCTGCACACATCCCAACCAGTGCAACCGTTTTTGTTTTACTGTATATCGACGACAGACTTAGGTTTAGTGTGTTGACGCCGCCTCGATGGACGTACCACGCTCAGGAAGCGTGCTTTGTGTTCATAGTTTAGTTCAAGTCTAGATCTAAACGGGCCCCCGAAGTCAAAGTGTTTTTATGTTCCGAACTTGAACGTCTTCCCCGTGGCAAATCCACTGCTAATCTTCCCACGCCGTACGAGTCGTGGGGTTATTGAACCACACACTTCACGCTGGGCAGTGCGGGTGGTGTCTGTCTATATAATTCCGAGTTTCCGTCCGTGTCACGCTCTGGGATAGATGCATGAAACAACAAATCCCTTTCCGCGAACGACTATACGAGGGGAAACATGGGGTACTGTACACAACACATGGGATTTTAGATTTGAAGCTTTCGTGACTGCAAGGATTCATACTCTTTGTTTTTTTCGGTAAAGTGGCGTAGGTAAAATAAAGCAATTAAATCACTTCGTTTCGGAGGCAACACAAGCTTCCGTCTTCAGGTGGAACAGTCACAGCAAGGTCGCTGCACTTGATGCAGAGATCTTGCTTTGCACTTGATGCAGCGATCTTGCTTTGACTGTTCCACCTGAAGACGGAAGTTTGTGTTGCCTCCGAAACGTCGTGATTTAATTGTTTTATTTTACCTACGTCACTTTACCGAAAAAAAAGAGTACATAGGATTTTGCTGTGCTGCCCTCGGCTGGCCCACCACGTGGTTGTACAAGTCAAATAATATAACTACATGCACGTATTAAGGTAATCGAAAGCGATTATATTGTACTCTTTGATTCTTTTGGTAAAGTCACGTAGGTAGAAGATAAATAATCGACCACGACGTTTTGATCGCCACACAAGCAGCCGTCTTCAGGTGAAGACAGGTGAAGACGGTTGCTTGTGTGACGATCGAAACGTCGTGATCGAAAGAACCAAAGAGTATGGATTCCTGCAGTCACGAAAGCTTCAAATCAAGATTGATTATATCGTATTGTCCCTATGCATAGACTCGCTCCACCATGAGAATTTCCACCACTGGTTCAAAGCTGCAAACAGGACATGAGCGCCACCTCGACGCTCCACTGAGCGGGGCATCACTGAAGACTCCTTGACTGCTGTAGCGGGCTGGCCCCGGCCACAATAACGTGGACATTGTGTGGCAGGTAAACAACCACGTGTTGCGCCGACCGCTAAAAGCCGCGCCCACTTCCGCCGGTCTCTAGCCGCTTCCGGCGGCTGTGGTGGAGGGGCGAGATCAACACCCGCACCGTCCCATTGGCCGGGCTCCCTACCCACGTGGTCCCACGTCTCCACCAACCGCCGCTCGCCCCGTGGCCCCGCCCACACGCGTCCCATAATCGTTCGCGCGCGGAGGGGGCGTGACCGGGAGGCGGCGTCACTTCCGGCGTGACGTCACGGGCCGGCTCGCCATGGTGCTCGTCAAGGAATTGTGAGTCCCGCTCAATGGCGGCGAGGAGGACGAGGGGGTGGAGGGGGGTGGTGGTGGTGGATAGACCGGGGGGCCGACGAGGGGACCCCGGTACCTACCCCCTTTGCGGGACAGGGGTCCCTTCCACGACCCGTGGGTTCCCCCACCCCTTCTCATCCCATTCGGTCTCCCGCTGTCTCCCCACGAGTCTCCCCTCAGCTCCATCTATCCCCTCGATCCCCGTTAGTCGCTTTAGTCTCCCCATCAGGTCCCCTCGGTGTCTATTGCTTCCATTATGGATTTGGTCCCCGCGGTGCCTCTGCAGGGTCTCGCGTCCCCGCAGTCCCCTTAACCGCTCTCCTCCCCAAGGCCCCCCCCCGCCCGAGGTTGACCCTCACTCACCCCCGCTGCCTCCCCGAGTTCGCTCGGCTTCCTCCCGCACGGCTGCACCACACTGAAGCGGTGTCCGTCCCACCGCTCCCTCTAACTTCTCGCCTCTGCCCTCCCTCCCCCCGTAGCCGGGTGCTGCTGCCATGCTCCGTGGAGGAGGTAAGTTCGCCGCGGGATGTTCCTCCGGGTGTCTGACAGCTGGACGGGCTCTGCGGTTTCTCACGTGGGGGAGGGGGGGTGACAGGTCCCTTATCGGGGTTCGATAGGGATCGAGGGATCCCTTGGGTGCCTGCCCGGTAGGGGTAGAGGTCTCAGAGCGGTGCCGCGCTACCGACTGCTCTGTCGCTGTTGGTCCCAGGGTAGGAGTGGCTCAGAGCACTGCCGAGGCAGCACAGCGGGGTCACTGCCCTTGCCTCGAGGGGCAGCCGTAGCGTGCGGTGTAAGGATACGAGACAGCCACACGGACTCACCGCCTATAGAACGCAAAGCAGACCCGCGCTGTGCGGGATGACACGGAGTGGAGTTTTGCTCGGGGCAGGGAGTAGCAAAACGAGTCTGGCGAGTACCGTCATTCACAGACAGACACGTGACCATGCCCCTTTCAGAGGGCCTCGCCCCTGAATGTGACCTGACCCCTGCTGCCCTTTCGCGTGACCCCCCACCTGCCCTTTCGCGTGACCCCAGTACCAAGTGGGGCAGCTCTTCTCGGTGGCGGAGGCGAGCAAGAACGAGACGGGCGGGGGCGAAGGCATCGAGGTGCTGCGCAACGAGCCCTACGAGAAGGAGGGCGGCGAGAAGGGGCAGTACACGCACAAGATCTACCACGTGCACAGGTGCGCCGCGACCCCTCCACCGCGGGGCATCCGTGGGGGCGTTGGGGGCAATCGCCTGCTTAGCTTCTTAGATATGAGATTGGGCGCGTCTGGGGTAAATTGTTCATTAGGCACGGTGCTGTAATAATGGCGCAATTGAAACATTCCGTGAGATTTGCGATCTAAATCGGTGTAAACTACGGGGATTTTTGATTCGGGATGTTCCATTGTACTGTGTAGACCCCACCACAAACAGCCAATCGTATCTCAGTAAAACCCACTATTCGTGCTTGCTGATGTTCCTTTACATTCCTGGCAAAGGTCCTCATGTTGGGTGTGTGTATGTGCCCGCGTATGCCCGTGTGTGCGTTTGGTGGCCTGCAGTAAGGTTCCCAATTTCGTGAGGCTATTTGCCCCCGAGGGGTCCCTCGTGTTTCACGAGAAGGCGTGGAACGCGTACCCCTATTGTCGAACCAGTGAGTTCGCCTGCACCTTTTTCTCTTCATCACATCTTCACGTCATCATCATGTCACGCATCACACTATCGTCAGATTAACTTTCACACATTCTCCATCGATGCTTTGCACATCGCATTACCCGTCATATCACACATTCAGCATTATCACATCATCATACATTGCATCACCACAGCACATTACGCATCATCATCAGATCGCACATTGTGAAATTTGATATCGGTCACGAGGTCCCAAATATAATGCTTCTCCCTTTATTCTCTTCCCCACTTTGATCAATATAACGTCCCAAGTTGTGACGGTAAGAGGAAATTCCACTCAACATATCACGCTTCACTTAACCAAATCCATTTCCTGTACGCCACAAAAAAAAATTCCCATCTGACTGCACGTTCCGTGACATTGCCCGCGACCGTTTTCACAGAACGAGTACATGAAGGATGACTTCTTTGTGAAAATCGAGACTTGGCACAAACCTGACATGGGGACGCAGGAGAACGTGAGTGTTTTGGTTCCCGGTTTGCACAGTTACTGTCGTAGAGGGCCTGCGCTCCGGTCGCACCGCTTTCTGCGCGCGCTGCCTGTATACGCGGTTCGCCGGCGTGCTTTCGGTTTGGCAACGCGCGTGCGTTCGATGGGGCGAATGTTTGCTTAAATCGAGCAGTTTGCTCGTTTACGAACACCTTTTGTCTCGTACAAGTCATCCGGAGAGACACGGTGGTTTCTAGCCCCCACGTTTGCTAGGCTAGGCTAGGTCTGGCATTGTTTCCCTCTTGCTTCTCACCTGTGCCAAAGCCAACAACAGGCACCTGGTGTGGTATCCTGGCTGGGTGGGTCTCATCTGTGGGTTGAAGTTATTACGTAATAATGCACTTGGCCCTGTGGCGAGAGCCATAGCCACAATGCCTGGGAGTGGATCCCCACGTTTAGAAAGTCCACCTGTCGCTGAGAAACCAGATGGCACTTTATAATGTGGGTGGATTAAAACAAATATTTTGTGCATGGAGTTAGTGATTGTGTCGACAGGTTCCTTATTTGGGCAGCGTCTTGGAAAAAACTTGATAACCCACAGGATCCACATTGGCCAGACAGTAGTAGGGCTTTGTTGAGATCAGGCAGATCAAGTGGATGGAATTATTAAGTTCATTATGCGACCATCTGTTGGGGGCAGAATGGGATGGAAGGGCGGGTAATACAAATAACTCTCATTGGCGAAAGAAGCCAGCATGGGTTTATACTCAGTATGTGCATGTGTTGTCACGATATTTCCAGGACACTTCCCAGTCACACACAATGTCGAGTCGCAGACTACTTGTAATCACGTATTTTTACTTGACTAGTAATGTCGTTATTGCCGACAACGCAGGTCAGTGTAAAGCACAATAGCACAGTGTTGGCTTCCCGGCTCGTTTTGTTCGGTGCACACAGTTGGCTGGCGGTGATTGAGTGTTCACGCTGAGCTTGGTGAGCGAGCCAGCGGACCCCTTTACGGGAATAGCCCCACGGTGAATTTCCGAAACGCTGCGGGCGAGCGACCGGAGCGAGCGACGGCATCACCGTGTGCGCCGCGGTCGCGCTTCGGGCGGATCGGCGCGTAAATGTGCGCGCGTACCCTCTCGTGTGTGCAACCCGGCCTGGTGCGTCCAGGTGCACGGGCTGGACGAGCTGACCTGGAAGCAGGTGGAGGTGATGCACATCGACATCGGCGACCGGAACCAGGTGCTGTCCTCGGTGAGTCCGGCACAGCCCTCGCACCTCCAACGCCAACATGAGCCATGGTCAATTCACCGCTGAGTTCAGGCCACACGCCAAGCCATCTGGTTATTGCTATAGGAGCATATTAACCGTTAAATGTGCGCCCTCTGCTTCACGGCAGACGTTAAACTTCCCCCGACTTCATTCGAACAGAGTGGGCCATTGTGTGCCAGCGTCATTGTCTATAGTAAAGTAAAAAAAATACTTGCAAATTACTCAAATGGGTTCACACACAGCAACATCGGCAACTATAAAACTACTGCAGACTGCATCTGTGACTCACCACACTTTTCTGTGCGATCATCGCCCCGTGCTATGAGAATGATCGCACCAATACCAAATGTCAGCAATCCATTTAACAGCTTCACTCAAGCTGATTCCATCGCTCCATCTCTGCCGGAAATGTAAATCTCCGGAGTGACCGCTCCTTTGTTTTCCAGTGCGTATGCCAGTTGAGGAATGTAAGCGCACCTTCTCTTGCAAATGGTTCAGTATCCTGCATGAACGCTGTCTATGGTGAAGCCGTGTGTGGTAGCGTCAAGAGTCAAAAGTTCACCACTTGAACATTTTTACAAACCACCGACAGTGGATCTGGGTGTGTTTTTGTCTGCTTGAGTGAATCATCGTGAACCTTATCATCGGGCGAGAGCCGATTTCCACAACGCTGTCACTTATATTTATTGTCTATCGTGTGAATGTGACATTGTGCGTGCGCGTGTGTGCGATGTTCAGGATTACAAGACAGAGGAGGACCCTGCATTGTTCAAGTCCACAAAGACCAGCAGAGGACCTCTGGGTCCCAACTGGAAGGTGCGCTATTCTTGCTAGGAACGCGTGCTCGTTGTAGCGACTCATTTGCCTTTCAAGTTAAATGTTTTGTCTTGTTAAGAGTGTACGCTTAGCGTGACGCCAGTTGCTGAGCACAGAACCAAAACGACAATTGGCCAGCGACAAAACGGCACTCGTGAAGGTGTAAGAGATAAGATTGAACGCATATCTTCTTTAATTTTGAAAGGTTATAAGGATTGGTGAAAGAAAGATGATAATGGAAGGGAATTCCAGAGTGAAGTAGTGCAAGGGAAGAAGCAAAGAGAGAAATGTTGTGTCCTGCAGTGTGGTGGCGGTTAGACACAGTACAGGTGAGATGAAACGGTTAGTCTGGTAGACCGAGCCCTCAACACGCTTGGCATAATCATCGAGTGTAGTTCGTGGCATTGCACGGTGGTAGCAATCGAAGAGTGGCGATGAGGTGGTCGACTGCCGGTGAGCGACGATGCAGCGCGCTTGCGCTCACCGTCCCCGTCGGCGGTATGTCTGCGTGCGTCTGGATGCCAGGCGGAGCTGGAGAACCGCGAGGACTGCCCGCACATGTGCGCCTACAAGCTGGTCACCGTCAAGTTCAAGTGGTGGGGGCTGCAGACTAAGATGGAGAGCTTCATCCAGAAGGTGCGTCTGCCCTTGCCACCGGTCTGCACCGTTAAAGGCAAATACGCCAAAAAAAACCTTGTAGGTGTGTGCCCAGTCCATCATCCTTACAGGGTCGATAAAATATACTTGTGGGGAAATCAAGCGGTTTCCCTATGGATACACTCGCCCCCGCCTTAGAAATGTAGAATGTCCACAACTGTGTTCGAGACTGTAAACAAAACATGAGCACCACATCAATACCCAATTGAGCAGGAAATCACTTTGACTGTTTTATGCACCCAAGCTCTGTATTAGGTTCCATTTGCGGGCACAGCCCTGTTGTTAATCCACTGCTAGATGAGGGCCTCCCCACACTGTTAGGGTTGAAGGTGGGGAGCATCTAAGTACAGGACAACAATTTGTTTTGCTGCACTGCTCTTTGTCAAGGGACGTGCTAGAGTCATGGATCTTGGGTCTTGAGCCATGTATACAAAGAAAAAGAAAGATCCCCCGGTCTAGCAAGCACTCGTACACACGTGCGTGCGTGTCCACTCAAGCTGCCTCGCTCTTTCCCCGCACCCTGACCCTGCAGCAAGAGCGGCGCATCTTCACCAACTTCCACCGGCAGCTGTTCTGCTGGATCGACCGCTGGGTTGGCCTCACCATGGAGGACATTCGGCGCATGGAGGAGGAAACCAAGCGGGAGCTGGACGAGGTGAGTGGGGCTGTGAGGGCACGGAGTCACGAGGTCGCGGTTACCAAGACTGAAAATGCTTTTTCGGCAAAGGTGGTGGAGCCGGACAGGAAATGGGCACAGGGTCAGGCCGCGTGCATGCACGGCGGTGGGAATTCATTTGCCGCCTCGCGTGATGGGCTGGCCGTTGTTGTCTTTTAAAGCCAGCAGTTGGAGTCAGATCTTCGGCTTTGAGTTAAAGCTGCCACTCTATTCATACCTGGAAAACAGAGGTCTGGCGGCAGCGAACGTTTAACCGCTTGTGCGATGACGCACGATAACATTAATTTGCTTGTACGTGTGTACAGTTACGCGAGAAGGGGAACGTGCGTGGCACCACGGCGGCTGCGGACGAGTAGGCCGTGCCGGCGCCGCCCGCACGCCGCCGCCAGCGGCTTGTGACCTGCTGGCATCGCTCACCCCGACCCCGACCCCAGCCGCTCGGCGTGCACGCCAGCAGCGCTTCCCGAGTCAGCGTTTTACTCCGTTTCATTTCTTTGACAAGTCTAGCTGTCGACCCGCACTTACGGACAAATTGTCTAAAGTGACATCGTGTCGAGTGATATATTTTTTACATGTAGCCTTGTTGCGTTGTGTGTGGTCGGTCATTAGATATCTAAAACGTAGCCGGACAGTCACCTTTGTAAAGTGCTCACAGTAGCATTTGTTGTTTTCCAGTCCTAACTCGATGCAATTTTTTAAGTTATTCCTACGTGGAAACGTTGCCAACCGGCAGCAGATGTCATAACAGCCAGGAAACCTGCAGAAACCACCACATTCTAAACCCCAGACTGTGGTGCTGGGGTTTAATCTCTGCACTGGGAGCACCTCCCCATTGCCACGGTAATATGCGCTGTGGTGAATCCAACCAGACGCAAGGGCACAGCCCATTTGGCCATCGGGGCTTGGTCAGGTACCCCCTGCTGCCTTGGCGATGGATAACGTGCAATGTAACTTGAACGTAGGTGGATTGAGGTGCACCTCTGTACGGTTTTCACTGTGGACAGCTTGGTGTAACCCCGGGAGGGGCTCTGGTTATTGCAGTGTTGTGTTCATCGTTGCTTTGCGTGTGTAGACGCACGCGCTCCTTTTTCTGTCGGTGGTTGGGCTTAAGTTTTTTTTACGTAAACTCTGGTGAGGGTGCTTCTCCGAGGCCGCGCCAGGCTGGGTTCCACTCGGGGTGGGGGCGGGGGGGTGCCTGCTCTCACGTGGCGAATCATTGTGAATTTTTAATCATTTTATTATCTGGTATCGAGAGAGAGACTACACATGCTTCGTGTACAACGGGCATAGAGCACTTGTAATTAAACTGCAGATATGAACCTCTGTGGTGGCCGTACGCCGGTGCAGCAGTCTCCTGTCAGACGTATTGTGCAGTGAACGCGTAGCCGGTTTAGATCCTCCTTGTGACTACTGGTGCATTTTAACCCTGTGCGCTAAACAACGCAATTTTATAATTCGTATTAAAACCGTATCCCTTGTCTCCAACTGTGGTTTAATTGCTTCTTAATCTAGAGAATAAACGCAAGTCCTTATTAATCCGCAGTGCGTGTGCCAATCTCATCCCTGCTGACTCCGGCGTGCCCCAGCGAGCCCCAGCGAGGGATTCAGTCCCCGTGATCCCTCTGGCATGTTTTTCTCCAAAGTTTCCGGCTTTTCCCCAAATAATTTGACGACACTGCAACAGCAGTGGTGCACGAACACAATTAACAAAACTCAACACGTTCCTCATTAACACTGTGGCCTTAGAAACAAAACAGAATAGGCAACGTTTTGGGCAATGGCCCTTCTTCATCGCACAGTCCACCCACCATCTAATCTTACAGCAACCTTGAACTCATTTTCCTCCCGCAGTTCCTCGCACGACCAATTTCTCCAGGTGCTTCCCAGTCTTTTCTATTTACACGCCCAGAACCTCGTTTGTGTGGTCAATACAAAACGATTTTATTGGACACGTGCACAGCCTCTAGACGAGCGTCCGGTGAGTGACACCCCTATAAAACAAAATCAAAACCTCCAGAACCCGGAGAGAGCGTGGTGCCGCGGCAGGCAGGATAACAGACTCATCTGCCAGCGTTGGCGAGCCGGCTTGTGGGTCGCTGTCAGTGTGTCAGCTTGGTGGCCGGCATGAAGCCCGAGTCCCCGAGCGACCGGAGTCCGACCCGGCCGCTGGGCCGCACAGCCAGCCAAGTGATGCTGCCGTTATCGAGCGACATCCGGAGCCAGCCCTCGGGCGGGAACTGCAGCGCCCTGCACTCACGGGCACGAGTACACAACACCACCGCCAGCATGACTCTAACCACCTCCACAATACCACCACCTCCACAACACCACCACAATACCACCTACACAACACCACCTACACAACACCACCTACACAACACCACCTACACGACACCACCAGCCAGCGTGGATCTCACCACCTCCACAACACCACCACCTCCACAACACCTCCACAACACCTCCACAACACCACCACAATACCACCTACACAACACCACCACAATGCCACCTACACAACACCACCGCCAGCATGACTCTAACCACCTCCACAACACCACCACCTCCACAACACGACCACAATACCACCTACACAACACCACCACCTACACAACACCACCACCTCCACAACACCTCCACAACACCACCACAACACCACCTACACAACACCACCAAACAGCGTGGATCTCACCACCCGTGGTTCTCCCCACATCCAACGGGCACAGTGGGTACATTTTGTCCTTCCCCCGCACCTCCGATTGGCACGGTTGGCTACATACGGTGTGATAGAAGTTCAACATACATCACATGCCATGGCCATCCTTGCTTTATGTGTAAATTGTGGAATTAATCTATACCGGTGCCATTATCCAAGCACGATGGCACAGGTCCATTCCCGTGCCTTCTCCGCATGGCCCAACGTGGCGAGATCCGGTGGAATGACTCCCAGGACCCGCACAGAGCGGGGAGGACCCCCCGCCTCCACAAGCGGATTGACAAAAAGCGCCGCACATTAACAAGAGGCGGCCGTAAACGCGTCTGTAGGCGTTGTCAAGGCGAGGCTGCCCGGTCGCGCTCGCTCACCTGCAGACGAAGTAGCGGATGACGTTGGCGTGGCACACGATGATCTCGTACGAATCTGCCTGCTGCTCGGGCTCTGCTCTGTGGATGAACTGGCGAAACGCCGCCTCGATCCGCGCCCCGTCCGTGAAGTACTGCGGAGACACGCGACCGCGTTGCCCATCGCCTCTTCTCCTCCGCACACGACTCGTGGGTGAATTATTTCCGTTTGATGCAAGTGTTGAAAAATTGTCTTTGGGGTCATTTCTACCGTCGTCTTGTCTGTGTTATACGTCTCATCCACTCCATTCGCCTAAAGGTAAGTTGCATATACTTTAAAAACATTGGTGATCATCAGTTCCTGTTCGAGAATCGGCTCTGAGTCGTTGCAACCAGTGACCACACTGCTGAGCAGCATCTAGAGAATGAATCTCAAACGCCCGAAACGTGAACGGAGGAGCAGTGCTGGAGATGAGCAGGGTCGGTAAGGGGTGGCCACTTGGCCTCTTCGAAGAGGCCCCCAGGATTCTCCCTGTTACTCTCCACGTCTTTCTCTACACGTTTCTGTCCGTGTATCTACATTTCTTTCCCGGTTTCGCTTTTTTTCTCTCTTTGCATTCCTCTCAGTGTCTGTCACTCTCCTCGGCTCTCGTTCTATCTCCTTCACTGTGTCCCTCTGTGTATGTGGCCTTCACTAGGGCCTCTCATCCCCCCTCTACGCAGGGGCCCCATTTAGTTTGGAGCCTTGCCAACACGCGCTCGTGTAGGAGGTATAAATGGAATCTGTCTGGCGACGGTAGGCGCCATCAACTGGCTTCTCCAAACTCGGCGGCATCATCATCATTGTGAGCCGTGACCAATCGCAAAGCATCGAAAACAACTCGATCCGTTGCTTTTCAAACCGCGTCCAAAACAAGAAAACGAGGAGGTAAGCTGCCGGCTCGTCCCGTCCAGAACTGGCAAGGGCTCACCTGGAAGTCGGGCTTGGGGCGCATGGGGGGCTCGGGCGGGATGGGCATGCCCTCCCTGAGCAGGTCGCTACTGCTCAGGGCCACGTCTGTTGATACACAACACAGCTGGCTCAGGGACATGGGGGGGGGGGGGGCCCAACCATCTGCCATGCTGCCTGTTGCTTAGCAGGCGTGAGAGGTTCACTTCAATTAGAGGGGAAATGTTGTGGGGATGTTTTGTACCAAGAGCTCATTACCAAACAACAAGCAGACCCCACGCGACGAATAGTCGACAGGGATGCCAGCACGAAGACGGTGCATTTAGCACAACATGAATGAGCAAAATCTCCCTTGTGCTTGGGGGGGTTCTGTTTACTTGAACTGTTGATTTATATACATTTATGATTGACATTTTATTGCGAGCAAAGTCTTTACAGCAGGAGGTAAACAATTTGCACATACGCAATTGCATCAAGTGTTCGGTTTGCATGTTCTAATGCGTGGATGTGGCCAGCTAATTGATCCGAGTGGATTTACGATGGTCAAATATGCGATGTACTGTATATGTAAAATGTGCTACACGTTGGGTCCGTGCGAACCCAAATGCTGACGTGGGATTCCACGGCTAGCACACGGGGGGCGCCTGGTGTCACACGGCACGACGGTGGCGGCTCACCGGGCAGGTGCGTGCTGATGATCTGCGCCGTCTCGATGGCACGTCTCATGCTGGAATGCACTATGCGGGTGTAGGGAAAGCCCAGGCTGGCAAGCCGCTGCCCCGTCAGCTCGGCCTGCTCACGCCCTGCTCGCCACAACCAAGACAAAGATGCTCCTGGTATAGCCTTCACAAACTGTTGGGGCAAGTGCTGTTAGCGAGCATGTGTCTTTTGACATCCAACTCGGAGATGATTGTGCTGCCTCACCTCCACCCTAACCCTATCACTAACCCTACCTCTACCACTAACCCTACCTCTACCACTAACCCTACCTCTAAAACCCTATCTGTCCCATAACCCTACCTGTAACTCTAACTCAGGGGTCGGCAACCAAAATAAGATCCATTTATTTCGAATTCCGTAAAAAAAATCTCAATATATCCAGAGCCGCAATGCATGTGCATAAGAGACGGTCCTTAACATACAGCGTCACGAAGCAGTCCTTAAAGAGCCCCAGGTTGCCGACCCTTCCTCTAACGCAACCTGCATCCCCTAACTCCAACTCTATCCACAAATCCCTAACCTACAAACCCCATCTCTAATCCTGCCTCTAGCACAAACCCTACCTCTACACCGGCCGTTAGCCACGAACCCCGACCGCTCACCGGTGTCGGTGAGGAAGCGCTGCTCGTCGGTCGGTCCGGCGAGGTTGTACTGCGAGTGGCGCACGAGGAGGATGTGGCGCGTGGCGCCAGTGCCCCTGTGTTTCTCCTTCCCGTTTAGCACCGGCTCCTGAACACCATTCACGGTGCTCTCCTTCACCTTGGCCTTCGCCGCCAGGAACGTGGATTGGCGCCTAAAACGGGAGGGGGGGGGGGCGGCGTTTGAGTGAGCAGGTCACACCGTGTCGGGGTCCAAACCCACTCACGGACTAATCGTCGGCCGTGGCCAATCCACTGCTGGATGAAGGCCTCAAGTCGTCGCCATCTCTCGCGGACCTGCCCACACAGCAATCCGCGTGGCCGCAGCACGTGCACCGATTCCATCGCTCCATCTCACACAAACCAATGCCATTTGCAGGTCCTCGCTGTATAACAGCAGCCAAATAACTGAAGGCGGGGGGTAGCGTTGCTTGACCATACTTCACTCCAGTAAGGCCAAACGTCCTTTGTACATTTTTAAGCCAGAGCCTCAAAACTGCAGTTCGGGAGGGTTCCTGCATTGGGAGCTGTGGCCAATTGAACCTCATGGCAGGACCCCACCGCGCACATAAAGGCCGCGACCCACCTGGCGCGGATCATTCTGTTGTCGTGTCGTCCAAGCGCAGCAAGGACGAATGCCGTAGTCATAAACAAAACTGTGAAACTTTAATTAGCGCATCGTGTCGAGCTCGCCGAGATGAATAGATCGCCGTGTCGGCCGCCTTCAACAGACAAAATAACGTCGCAACGCAGTTTATGCGAGAGCCGGGGGCTGATGGGACCCGGGGGTCCCGCCATAAGGTTCAATTCCACTTCATTTCACTGTAATCCCCCCCCCATTCCTGCCGCTTGCCCCCCCCCCATTCCTGCCGCTTGCCCCCCCATTCCTGCCGCTTGCCCCCCCCAATTCCTGCCGCTTGCCCCCCCCATTCCTGCCGCTTGCCCCCCCCCATTCCTGCCGCTTGCCCCCCCCCATTCCTGCCTCTTCCTCCCCCCATTCCTGCCGCTTGCCCCCCCCCCCATTCCTGCCTCTTCCTCCCCCCATTCCTGCCGCTTGCCCCCCCCCCATTCCTGCCGCTTGCCCCCCCCCCATTCCTGCCGCTTGCCCCCCCCCCATTCCTGCCGCTTGCCCCCCCCCATTCCTGCCGCTTGCCCCCCCCCATTCCTGCCTCTCCCCCCCCCCCCATTCCTGCCGCTTGCCCCCCCCATTCCTGCCGCTTGCCCCCCCCCATTCCTGCCGCTTGCCCCCCCCCCCCCATTCCTGCCGCTTGGCCTCTCCCCCCACTTCGAGAACTTTCTTCAAGCGTCCCCCACCGGGCCCTTTGTATCGCAGGGCCGCGAGAGGCCTTCGCCCAGCAGTGGATTGGTGACTGACGATGGCGGCATTTCACTTCGAGGACTGTGGTTTAACTTCGATCGCCGAAACCCAACAACAGCAGCAGCAGCAAGCGGCCCCATACAAGGACCAAGGCAAGGGGCTGCTGTTCCCCGCTGATAAAGCGACGACCGAATCCCCCCGAACGCGCCCAATCTGGGAAGCCACCAGACTCGCGCCTGCAGGACGCCGGGTGGCCGAGCGCCGTGCACGCCCGGTTGTCGTGGCGGCTGCGGGGCTCTGCGTGTCGGGCAGCCGATGAGAGTTCTGTAGCAGAACCCACTGTTGTACTGTAGCAGAACCCACTGTTGTACTGTAGCAGAACCCACTGTTGCTCTGTAGCAGAACCCACTGTTGTACTGTAGCAGAACCCACTGTTGTACTGTAGCAGAACCCACTGTTGTACTGTAGCAGAACCCACTGTTGTACTGTAGCAGAACCCACTGTTGTACTGTAGCAGAACCCACTGTTGTACTGTAGCAGAACCCACTGTTGTACTGTAGCAGAACCCACTGTTGCTCTGTAGCAGAACCCACTGTTGTACTGTAGCAGAACCCACTGTTGTACTGTAGCAGAACCCACTGTTGTACTGTAGCAGAACCCACTGTTGTACTGTAGCAGAACCCACTGTTGTACTGTAGCAGAACCCACTGTTGCTCTGTAGCAGAACCCACTGTTGTACTGTAGCAGAACCCACTGTTGTACTGTAGCAGAACCCACTGTTGTACTGTAGCAGAACCCACTGTTGCTCTGTAGCAGAACCCACTGTTGCTCTGTAGCAGAACCCACTGTTGTACTGTAGCAGAACCCACTGTTGCACTGTAGCAGAACCCACTGTTGTACTGTACCTCTACGCTCTCACGTCTATGCCCACCAGCCTTCACAGACACGCACTGACCGGCGTGGTGAGGAATGGGCAACTAAACCGACACGAGCCCCGCGGCGTGGTAGGGGAGGGGGCCTTATCCAGCAGTGGACGGACCAACAGTACAAGCGAGGGCAACCTGCGGGCATAGAGGTCGGGTCGGATAAGGGTTCAAGTGAGATGGGGTCAAATCGAGGTCAGGCAGTGTTGGGTTGGCCGTCCAAGGGGCCCAGCGGGACGTTTACCGGTCCCAGTTGTGGTCCCAGGAGGCCAAAGTCGACACCGCGGGGTTCTTGTCCGGGGCGGCGGACTTCACTGGCGGCGCGTCCACGTTGATGCTGGGCGGGTGATCAAGGGTGGATCTGTGCACCAGCACCGCCGCGGCAGACGCGGCCAAGCCGCACGCCAGGCCGATCGCTCTCCTCCTCGCCATGGCTCCGAGGCGTCCGGTGTGCACGGGAAGAGCAGGGAGGAGACCCCCGGGAACTCGAGGGGGCAAGGGGATGCGTGGACCCGGAGACAACAGAAGCGAGGCGCGACGCTGCGCACGTGCGTCTGGCTCTGCGTTACGCGCTGCGCGCCGCTATTCACTCATTAGCGTCCGCAAATTCGCGCGGCGACGCCAGCGTCAGAATCTTGATTTAGACTAAAGGATAAATCCGATGCGCTACGAAGCTCTTTATTGCAGTTCGTTCAGTAGGGGCGGATCAGTGAGTGACGATAACAATACAAAAAAAGGATAGGGAAGCTAAGCAAATCGCTCAAATTAAATATATTAAATAGATCAGCCGTGATCAATCCACTGCTAGATTAATGTCACGTTTATCGAGTACATTTTGTTTGTGGTAATGAATGTAGCTATCGTCGTAAATGTATTTCCTGGGTCAGCAGAGTGAGTTGTGGTAAGTCAATGGTGGGTGTTTCCTAGACTGGCCCCGTCATTAAGTGCGGAAAATACGCAAGTGTTTTATGAGGTAAGCACATCCGATTAGCAATGGTTAGCTACGTACGGTGCGAAAGAAGTTCAACCATACATCCAGTACACTGGGGTTTGTCACGAATCGCAGTACCGTTATGCACAGTTAAAAGAGTCGCGAATCGGCGTGACGTGGGCGCGTGGACAACTTCAATGTGGAACCCGAAGCCGCCGACGCCGCCGCTGCTGCTAACGGGCGGCCATCTTGCTCAAGGATGACGCGCGCGCTATGGTGGCGCGAGCGTTACGTCGCCATCTCCTCCCCCATCCAATATGGCCGACCGAACCTCAAGCGACTTTACTCACCCAACATTACCGACAATAACACACTTCCGGGTGTATCATTCCCCTCTTCTCAGCTTGACCGAAAGTGACCGCCGGTGAGAACGACGCGATCGCTCCGACGCCTCTGCTCACCCAAAAACGTGACCACAACGAAGCCTATGTGAGGTCGGGGGAACAAACGCCGCCTTCTCACCCTTCTCCCCCTTCCTCACGAAACATGGCCGACTCGGAGCCAACTCGCCTCACCCTCCCAGAGCTGCCCAGTCGCGTGCCAACAGCGGGCGTGCTCGTCGGCGATTGGCCCGCGCGCCTCTGACGCGGCGGCCCCGGCGCGACCAATGGGAGCGCGCCGTCTCCGGGCCTGGCTGCTGTAGAGGAGCAATGGCGCCGCTCGTGCCCAGGTCGCTGTCGCTGCTAGCGCTGCTGCTGCTGGGCGCCGCGCCCCGCTCGGGCCTCGCCTTCTTCATCAGCGTGGACGCGCACGCCGAGGAGTGCTTCTTCGAGAAGGTCACGTCCGGCACGAAGATGGGGCTCATCTTCGAGGTGGCCGAGGGCGGCTTCCTGGACATCGACGTGGAGGTGAGCGGCGTCGGCGGGCGCGACGGACACGTCACCCCCTAGGCCTCGGCGGAGCCGGGGTGGGACACACCACCCCACAGGGGGAGATACACCACCCCACAGGGGGAGATACACCACCCCACAGGGGGAGACACACCACCCCACGGGGGGGAGACACACCACCCCACGGGGGGGAGACACACCACCCCACGGGGGGGACACCACCCCACGGGGGACACCACCCCGGGTCCCGCCCGCCCCGGTTGGGAGAGCCTCCTCGTCCCCGCACCGTGCTCGCGGTGAGGCGGCGGGTCCCGAGAAAGTCCCCAGGAAATGGAAGCGTTAAGGTGGAGGATTTCGTCATTGGTTCTCGCTGCTTCACTGGATTACAGGCCACACCAGATGGTGGCTCCGGCCGTGCAGCGAGGAGGCACTCGTAGGCCCCGATCGCTGCGAGTGTAAATCCGTTTTGGGGTTGGTGGGGGATTGACACAGTCCACCATCCCTTCGGTTGTCAATGAGAACCACTTTGTGGGAAAGTCAAGCAGTGTGGAAATTCCCACCACCGGCTCAGGGCTGTGTGAATAAGAGCTGAGCACCGCCTCAGTGCTCATTTGAGCAACCGGTATTAACTATTTTTTTTACCATATATCCGGGTTCTTTGTACCTCCGAGATGGTAACCCTCGCGGTGACTCAAAGGGGGCTCTCTCGAGTTTATAGGTCCCCCTTGATCCCCTCGGATCACCTGAGCATAGTGACCACACGGGGCTTCCGACGGCTCCTTTCACCGCACCTGTTGCTCTTGAGGGTCTGCCTCGTGCCCCCCTCGTCCAGTAGAAGTCCCCTGGGTGCCCCTCTTCAAAGATAAACCCTTTTATATTCTTTGGGTCTTTCGGTAAAGTCACGTAGATAGGTTCAAAGAAAATAACAAAAAAACTACGACGTTTCGAGCGCAACACAAGCGGCCGTCATCAATGTGTGCCACTTGCGTTGCGATTGAGACGTAGTTTTTTGTTATTTTCTTTGAACCTATCTACGTGGCTTTACCGAAAGACCCAAAGAATATGTATTCCTGCAGTCACCAAAGCTTTAAGCGAAGATGATCCCTTTTAGTTCTCCCTTGTCGATTGAAAACTAATTTCTTTAGAAATGTTTTGTGTGTATTTAGTTTTTTGTCCTTCCCCCGCACCTCCGATTTGCACGGTTAGCGATGTGCGGTGTGAAAGAAGTTCAACATACAAAGAGGGCCCTTTTAGAGTCCTATTTCTGTGTCCTCATGCCCCTCAGAGCGAGTGACGCGTCCTTGATGTCCTCGCCGCAGCCCTCTGTGGTCTCCAGGTCCCCTTGCCAGTCTGGGTCTCCAAACCCAGGCCCCTTAGCTGCCTTGCGTCCTCATTCGGGTGCCCTCTCCAATTCTTGTCGACAGCCCCACCACCCTCCACAGTCAGCTTCTCCCGGATCTTACAACAACTCGAGCCCCGGAGTATTCAATAAATCAATAAGTGGGCCAGGAGCTAGAGAGGTAGGGCTATATGTGCTGGTCGAGGTAGTGTTGTTCCTAATTCATGAGTAGAGATTGGGATAGCGGGAGTGTTAGTGAGGTTCATGAGGTTGGACGGTGGCAATAGGAAATGTGGTAGGGTAGGTGTAGCGATAGAGTTGAGGGTAGCGGTAGGCTTTGGACTAGACACAGTATAGGGTTTTGGGCCAGAAGGCTAGGGTTTACATGACCATGCTAGACGATAATTCTGAGAAAAAACTGTAGTCACCTGAAGTTAATACAATTTCAGTGGTTTAACTTCCATTTTCGTGAGCAATGAAAGTGAACTAAAGTGATGAAGAAGCAAACCAGAGCAGGTTGCAGCGATTTTGTAAAAATATATATATATTTGAGAATTAAAATAAATGTACCAATGTGCCTTAAGAAAGTTTAGTCAGTGGGGATTCTCTCCATGCTCCTGGCAATTACGCCAATAGAAACAGATATCGCATAGATTAATTATTGATTTCAAAAGTGGTAGAATTGATAATGGAATCCCATAGTTGCATTCATAGTTGAACCGATTGGCGTGCAAGAACATTGAAACCCCATGATGTGTTCATGTATGCTAATTGGAGGTATGGGGGAATTGCAAACTGAACACAAAGCCGTTTCAGTGATTTGTAACATGAGAACCATTACAGCCCTTTGTCAGGCCACTGCTGGCTGAGGGTCTCACAGTGCCGTCCTTGGCGTTCCTGCGTATTTATTGACCATACTTGCCCACACTCCTCAGTCTTGGAGTCAAAACAAGAATCAACATTTTTTTCATATCGTGTTTTTTGCATTTATGGGTAACGCTGAAAAAATGTAAGATTCATGACCCGACTTTATGTGATGTGTGCAGATCACGGGGCCCGATGGACGGGAGATCTACCGTGGGGACCGGGAATCAAACGGGAAGTACACCTTCGCGGCCCACATGGACGGCGTCTACAAGTTCTGCTTCGGCAACAAGATGTCCACCATGACGCCCAAGATGGTCATGTTCACCATTGACATGGGCGAGACTCCCAAGGGCCAGGACATGGAGACCGAGGGTGAGAGGCGTCGCGGTGACCCCTCGGGGTCAGCTGGAGATCACCCGCTTAGTGCCTCTGCAGCCAGTGATGGCGGTGCTGGGCGTACGCAAACTCAGCGAAAGTTGAGCAGCCCAAGCAACTGAAGGTGCCCAGGTGCATGAGAAGAATAAATGGGGTGCAGCAATTATCAGCTGCAACTCGGATCTTTGTAAAAAAAAAAGTCCAATACCATATTCTCCAGATTATAAGACGTTCTGGAAAATAAGACGCCGGTGTCAGTAAAGTTATACAATCAGGCCACACCTACCGTAATTTAGGACGCAACCCCAATTTTGCTTTAAAATGGTGAAAAAGTGTCTTGAACTTTAAAGACTGCAGCAATAAGATTTAAAGTAATTTGAATTAGTCTCAAAGCTTAATTACATCCCACAACTGTGATAGTATTACATTACATAGCTTATCCATTATTTAATCTTTGTGGTCTTGTGACACATACAACATGTATACTTTCTGGTCATTGCCTGCAGTGGGCTGTTAGCGACACCGCTCTCCGTTTGTCCGACGCCTGCTCTCGGCCCCCCCTTGAGTTTTCACACCGTCTCGCACCTCTCGTCACCTTCGATGTTCCCTCTTACTTCACCTTTCTCTTTCCGTGTCTCCAGGTCGAGATACGTGGGAGGGTATGTGTCTCCCCGTGGCGGTGTGCGCGTGTGCCCCTTGGCAGTGTTCATTGTGTTACCGAGCCTCTAGTCTCTTTAGTGGCTGCTTTGTAGATTAACTGGTGAGGCTGCCTGAGGTGTTGTTTTGCTAGCAGGTAACATAACTTTGGAAAATAATTTTCCCAATTAATACTGGACATAACAATGTCCACGGCGCTAACTTTAGCAATGCATTGCATGCTAACACGTGAAGTTACAAGAATGCCCTGTTGCAGTGACACTTCCGGCAGTATTTAAAGCATCATATAGTGCTCATTGTTAGCCAGTGCCTATAGACACACTCACACCGTCACTCACGATTATCCAGCATATAACGGTGGAGGGACGGCCCGGACAAAAAATAAACAAGGATAATGCAAAACAATTAAATGTAAGATATAACACGAAGGTATGTTTAACTTGTGTTCAATGGGAGTGATGAATTAGAACTTGTGTTTAGAGGCTATTTTACAGGCATTGTTTTGCGCTGTTTTTGTTTTATCGGCCCCCCCCCGTCCCCCATTGAGTGCTTCTTAAAGGAAGTGGTTTACTTGTGGGTGTTTGTGGTCATCTAGGCACTGAGTTGCTCATCCACGATGAGTGAGGAGCAGCTCATAATTTGAACCAGTGTGCCCATATTTATTTTTAACAAGCGTGGTTAAGCCACAATCCAGATAATCCGGCCACAGATAATTGTGCGTTGGCTGTATTTAGTGCTTGAAAAGCAAGAGGCCGGTTTGACCTTCATCTTGAGCTTGTGGGATTGCGTTGGTGGCCATTATATAGACACTCTGACGGGCGTGGCTTGGTGACCCACGTGTGTAACGGCCTGCGTGCGTGCGTGTCGCAGCTCATCAGAACAAGTTGGAGGAGATGATTAACGAGCTCGCCACGGCCATGACGGCCGTCAAGCACGAGCAGGAGTACATGGAGGTCCGCGAGCGGATCCATCGGTCGGGTGAGTGGATGCCCTGATACGCCGACATTCTCTCCACGAACACTCACGTTCAGGGGTCAGTGGCAAAAACATTTGCATGGATGTTTTGGAATTGGTTTATTGGAGAGTGGCGACTCCACTCATTGCCCACTTCAGTTGGCGGTCGACGGTCGAAGTGGACTGCGTCCCTCAAAGGAATGGTGCCGCCCCGTGGTCGCCTCCCCTCGCCCCGATACGTGGACCCAACAAATTACTCGACACTTCATGGTCAAATAATGCACATGTTCTACATAGTGTGTCCCTCCCTAATCCACCAGTGGATTTATTAAAGAGCCATACATGTATCACCGGGCCAGAGACTCGGTGGTGGAGTGAGCCGCTCACAGGTAAAATCTTGTTTGGCAGTTGACTCAGCCCATAATCCCTTCGGGGTAGTTAAAATAAGTACCACTTTGTGGGAAAGTCAAGTGGTTGTGCTTAGGATAAACTCACCTCCGCCATAGGAATGTGGAATTTCCACCTCTGGCTCAGGGCTGTAAACGAGATGCGAGAATCACCTCTTCATTTGAACCGGCAATCCCTTTGTACGCACACACGATTTACGTACGAGAGTGACGCGGCGCACGCGTGCCTCTGTGTATGTGTGCTCCGTGCGTGTGCATGCAGTGAATGACAACACCAACAGTCGTGTGGTGCTCTGGGCCTTCTTCGAGGCGCTGGTCCTGGTTGCCATGACGCTGGGCCAGATCTACTACCTGAAACGCTTCTTCGAAGTGCGGCGGGTGGTGTGAGCGGCATCATCGGCGTGGAATCTCCCCCCCCCCCCTCGCGCCGTCACCTTGGTCCGTAAACACTGTCTCGTCAGCAGCCAGATGCAATCCTCACACAGGGTTGATAACCACAGCACCCACAAGTCATTATTTATGTGTTTTATTAACAAGTTCCGGTTGCCATAGAGGCTTAGGTTTTGGAGCTTGTGTGCAGGGTGCGACAATCTAAATTCCCCCATACACGTTTTCTGCTTGAAGTGGGTTTTTTTTGTACGTGGCAGGGGCCATCAAAGTTTTGTGAATGAGGTCACCGTGACTGGTCAAGGGCTTATCGTTTCATCCCATTTTTGCGCCAGTCCGAATCACGTTACAGTACACTTACGTTGCCATTGGCTATACTGAAAACCTAATATGTAACGGGTATGGCGTGAACGTACCGTTCATGTCCTACATGTGCTATTCTTGCCCTAAATTTAAGAAACCAAGACACCTCGGCAGTGGTTGTGCAAGCACAGCTCAATAAGATCTCGCTGCCATCTTCATTAACGCTGCCCTACGACCTACGCAGTCAGGATAAATAATTTCGACCGACTTGGAGAATGCCGTTTAGAGGCCATCCATTTAGTACGTACGCACAAATCTGTCTGCTTGACCCCTCCCCCCCTTCCCTGTATGCACGCGTACTTTTTACACCCCCTCCACCTGCGTATGTACGCTTGACCCCCCCCTCCCCCCTCGAATCCTATAGAACGGGCCGATATTTAATCCACGCAGAAACGATCAAGGATTAATAATATTAACGTGTTTAAGCAAACAGTCCACCACCGGCTGCATTAAATAGTTAAGTTTGTCTAGTTTCCACTAGATTAAAATGCCGACTGAACCCAGTCGAACAGGTGACGTATTCTAGTTATTTTGTCAACACGTGCAATGTCAGGCTTCAGCCTGACATTGTTATCGAGGCTTCATCCCCCCCTCCCCCCCCCCGTTTCCTTTGCGTACGTACATTGTTAATAGACCCCCCATACGCAAGCGTATGCATTTGGATTCACCCCCTCCATGCGCATGTACTAAATGGATGGCCCCTTACAATGTGACCCACGCACTGGATCGTCGGAGACGGTTGATGTCGTGTTACCGTTGAAAGATTCTGTTAATGACGATGGAGGTGAGAGTTGATTTCAGTCCTGTTCTGCATCTCTCGGCCACCCCTGCTACCACCTTGTCCCTCCCGTGCCCTCCAATCGTCAGGAGACGCTTTATTTTCAATTTCTGTTTGGACTGCGATTTGTTGCGGAGCTAAAGTACGGGGAGTTGCGAAGTCGCGTTTGTCTGGTGGGGTTTTTAATAAAGAGAAGACGGTTTTGTTGCCACAGAAATGTTTGGACTGTTGAATGAACAGAATAAAGATGAGAAAACCTCCACGGTCAAGTGGCATTGCGTCTTCTCTGCCGCTCATGATGGGGGGTCTGGAGATGTTCACGATTCATAGCCATTGTATTTGGCCATCATCTATCCACTGCTGGGTGAAGACTTTCCCACGTCATTGTCAGTGTTGCAACAATCCGTCAACCTCCCGCATATGAGCTGACCTCAACCCTCCATCTCCCTTGGTTGATGTCCTTTCCCGTACATTTTCTCTTTGGGCTGCCACTCCGTCATCGGATAACCATGAGCATGAATTCGCCTTTGAAAAGTAATCTCTTACACTTTAAAGGTTGCATTAACACGTAAACGTTCCAATAAAATGACAAGTTCCGCTTTGAGCAAAACATTGAATGACTCGTATTTTAATTGTGTACAACAGTGTACAGACATGCTTCACAGTTTATAGATATTTAAATAAACTTTTTGTAGAAGCAATTTTCAAATACCTTTGGGGTGTACAATCAACGCATACCTCGGCCACGAATGTTACTGCAAGACACCCTTGCAGTGACAGCCGCGACTGAGTAAACGCGGTATTGCCAGCTCTCATGTTCCCCTCTAGTCTTTGATTAGTGTGACTGATACTGGCCGTGTTTGATCAACATAGTTTGGTTGTTTGTAGGTAGCTTGCCTTGTGGCTGTGGGCTGTAGGTTCTCCACCTCTGCCATATAACATGCTAACCATCGTGATGTTAATGTATGTTTTACGTTGTAGGCATTTCAATATTTACACTCCTTTGTATACCATTTCACAATGTGTACAGGAATGCGTGGGAGAGCGGTGGTGCAGTGGTTAGTGCGCTGTTCTATTAGGCTGGGTAGCCCAGTTCGATTCCCTTGCTACGGCTTACATTGGTGGAGAGCTATAGAACCACACTGATTAGCATGGTGTGGTTAAATAACAAGGTGCTGGAGCCCGTCATCCAGCAGTCGCTTGGCAAATCGGAATGTACGTCTCGCAGCAAAGATGAAAAACGTCAGAATTGACCTGTCATGAGAGGTCCCATCCACGAGAGGGCACCACCCGCCTCTGACAGGAAAGGGGGGAGACAGGTGGTGAACGTGTGTATACAATGTTAGTGTTGAGTGATTGTGTGTATTAAAATAAGGCTGATTTGAACGAAGGCACTGGGATGGAATATCTCCCAACTGCATCATAGACTTTCAATGGAGTCTGATCTGGAAGTTGCTACATGCTAATAATATCTGTATTTTCTCGAAGTATCCGATTTATATTTCTTCACGGCCCCTGTCTTGCAAATCAGAATCGAGCCACGTTTGACAGTGACCTCTCACCAGATTGCCCCATTGTTTTACACCGCTACCACTAAATACATCCAACAAAATCAAAGCCACGAACATCACCCGTCAATTGAAGTGTTATTTTGAAGCATCAAACCTCAGGGCATCTGTATGTCAGAACGCCGTACTACAAACATGCTCCGTAGCAGCGCGTAAAATGATACGGAGCAAGTGCAAAGCCTCCACCCCCCCCATCCCGAGTGCCGTGGAACATCTCCCCTACGTCAGCTACAGCCCCTCGACCACCTGGGGACGCACGCTCAAATACAAAGCGGCAGACTTCAAAAGAAGATGGGACCCATTCCTGATTAACCCGTTTACGTCGAGGATCCTCGGGCCAGTGTCACCAGGACAACGTACACCTTCTTAAGCAAGAAGCCTGTTCGACAAGCCGCAGCTAGCCCTCCCGCATGTTAGACACTCTCCTAACCCCACGAACTCCTCCTCTTGTCCAAACCCTCACATGTCAACTGAGAGAGAAGTTCAGGCAACCCTGAAGAATCCCAACGGTGAGGTCTGTACGAGAAACACGCGCCCGACCTATCACTCCGCGCAGCGTGTTTAATGTTGGAATGTACCATGTGTCAGAAATGTGAATAAAATCTTAAAAACGTATGTTCATGCTCTTAATTGTTGAGTGCGTAAAACGATGAATAAAAAAATCGACATACTAACTAAACTACGTCGTTTTTGGCCGGAATTTTTCACTTTATTTTTTAATAAAAAACATACCTGTGTCGCTTTTGTCCGGGATTTTTTCACTTTATTTTGTAATTAAAGTTAATTCCTCCATTGTGTCTAGGCACTGTAGGCCTGTGTATGAAAGGAAAATGAGAACAAATCACAGTAAAAAAATGCACCTAAAAAAAATTCGGTCTTCTAACCTGTATCGTTTTTGGCTGGAATTTTTTCACTTCATTTTTCAATAAAAAGTGAATTCCTCCATTGTGTCTACGCTCTGTATGCTGTATATTAAGGAAAAATGAGAACATATCACAAAAAATTAACCTGAAAAAATCGACATACAAACCTCCGTCGTTTTTGTCCGGAATTTTTTCACTTTATTATTCAATAAAAAAGTGAAATACTCCATTGTGTCTAGGCTCTGTAGGCTGTATATAAAAGGAAAATGAGAACGTGTCATCATGAAAAAATTTCATCCGGAAAAAATCGACATACTAACCTGTGTCGTTTTTGGCTGAAAATGTTTCGCTTCATTATTTAATAAAAAGTGAATTCCTCCATTGTGTCTAGGCACTGTAGGCTGTATATGAAAGGAAAATGAGAACGTGTCATCATGAAAAAAATTTCATCCGGAAAAAATCGACATACAAACCTCTGTCGTTTTTGGACAGAATTTGTTCACTTTATTTTTCAATAAAAAGTGAATTCCTCCATTGTGTCTAGGCTCTGTAGGCTGTATATGAAAAGAAAATGAGAACATATCACAATAAAAAAATTCACCTGAAAAAAGTCGACATACAAACCTCTGTCGTTTTTGGCCAGAATTTGTTCACTTTATTTTTCAATAAAAAGTGAATTCCTCCATTGTGTCTAGGCTCTGTATGCTGTATATTTAAAGGAAAATGAGAACATATCACAATAAAAAATCACTTAAAAAATCGACATACAAACCTTTGTCGTTTTTGTCCGAAATTTCACTTAATTTTTCAATAAAAAGTTAATTACTCCATTCTGTCTAGGTTCTGTAGGCTGCATATGAAAAGAAAATGAGAACATATCATGATCAAAAAATTCACCCTAAAAAAATCGACATACTAACCTGTGTCGTTTTTGGCTGAAATTTTCTCACTTCATTTTTCAATAAAAAGTGAATTCCTCCATTGCGTCTAGGCTCTGTATGCTGTATATTACAGGAAAATGAGAACATATCACGATAAAAAAATTCACCTGAAAAAAATCGACATACAAACCTCTGTCGTTTATGGCCAGAATTTTCTCACTTTATTGTTCAATAAAAAGTGAATTCCTCCATTGTGTCTAGGCTCTGTAAGGCTGTATATAAAAGGAAAATGAGAACGTGTCATCATGAAAAAAATTAATCCGGAAAAAATCGACTTACAAACCTGTGTCGTTTTTGGCCAGAATTTGTTCACTCTATTTTTCAATAAAAAGTGAATTCCTCCATTGTGTCTAGGCTCTGTAGGCTGTATATGAAAAGAAAATGAGAACATTTCACAATAAAAAAAATTCACCTGAAAAAAGTCGACGTACAAATCTCTTTCGTTTTTGGGCAAAAATTTTTTCACTTTATTTTTCAACAAAAAGTTAATTATTCCATTGTGCCTAGGCTCTGGATGTAGTATATGAAAGGAAAATTAGAACATGTCATGATAAAAAAAATTCACCTAAAAAAAATCAACATACTTTACCTGTGTCGTTTTTGGCTGAAAATTTTCATTTCATTTTTCAATAAAAAGTGAATTTCTCCATTGTGTCTAGGCTCTGCAAGGCTGTATATGAAAGGAAAATGAGAACGTGTCATCATGAAAAAATATCATCCGGAAAAAAATCGACATACAAACCTGTGTCGTTTTTGGCCAGAATTTGTTCACTTTATTTTTCAATAAAAAGTGAATTCCTCGATTGCGTCTAGGCTCTGTATGCTGTATATTAAAGGAAAATGAGAACATATCACGTAAAAAAAAATGCACTTAAAAAAATCGACATACAAACCTCTGTCGTTTTTGTCCAGAATTTTTTCACTTCATTTTTCAATAAAAAGTGAATTGCTCCATTGTGTCTAGGCTCTGTAGGCTGTATATTAAAGGAAAATGAGAACGTGTCATCATGAAAAAATTTCATCTGGAAAAAATCGACATACAAACCTCTGTCGTTTTTGGCTGGAATTTTTTCAGTTCATTTTTCAAAAAAACTGAATTCCTCCATTGTGTCTAGGCTCTGTAGGCTGTATGTGAAAGGAAAATTAAAACATCACAATACAAAAAAAACTCACCCGGAAAAAATCGATATTCAAACCTCTGTCGTTTTTGGCTGAAATTTTTCACTTCATTTTTCAATAAGAGGTCAATTACTCCATTGGGTCTACGCTCTGTAGGCTGTATATGAAAGGAAAACGAGAACATATCACAATAAAAAAATTAACCTTAAAAAATCGACATACAAACCTCTGTCGTTTTTGGCCAGAATTTTCTCACTTTATTTTTCAATAAAAAGTGAATTACTCCATTGTGTCTAGGCTCTGTAGGCTGTATATGAAAGGAAAATTAGAACATGTCATGATGGAAAAAAATTCACCTGAAATTAATCGACATACTAACCTGTGTCGTTTTTGGCTGAAAAATTTCACTTCATTTTTCAATAAAAAGTGAACTCCTCCATGGTGTCTAGGCTCTGTAGGCTGTATATGAAAGGAAAATGAGAACGTGTCATCATGAAAAAATTTCATCCGCAAAAAATCGACATACAAACCTACGTCGTTTTTGGGCAGAATTTGTTCACTTTATTTTTCAATAAAAAGTGAATTCCACCATTGTGTCTAGGCTCTGTATGCTGTATATTAAAAGGAAAATGAGAACATATCACAATAAAAAAAATCACTTAAAAAAATCGACGTACAAACCTCTGTCGTTTTTGTCCGAAATTTCACTTCATTTTTCAATAAAAAGTTAATTACTCCATTGTGTCTAGGTTCTGTAGGCTGCATATGAAA